AATTGCAAATCACATTATAAAAATTGATATTTAACTTATGAATAAGTCAACATTCTTATAAGTTATACTTTCTTAATTCTTAAATTCGTATATAAAGTTGTAATCTCTTAATTTTTCATTTATTATTTAAAATTATGTGTAGTTCTTAATTTCTTATTTAAAGTCATAATTTCTTTGTTAATGATTTCTTGTTAAAAGTTTATAAGCATGATTTAGTATTTAAAGTTAGTTTAAATTTATTGTTTAAAATGCCTCGAACTGTTTCAATGTAACTAATGAAATTATATATACCCATAATAACCAAACTCTAAATTAATATATTAAGGCTTTTGCTGCACAATAATTCTAGTGGAATATATTCCAATCAATAAATTCTCTCAGTTATTAGATTTGTCCAGTTTCGGATATACCACCTTAATACCTTTCCGAGTAAATTTGCACGTTAGTCATAGCTTCAGGACACGAAGTTGAACCTAATTGCTGATGGAATGAGAGAAAATCCTCTAATTAAGCGTTAGAATAATTTATAATGCAGCTAAATATGAGTAAATACATTCATTTATATACTAGTTTACATTCGAAATTAGATTACTTATTGTCAGCGTTATGTGATATGAATTGAATATTTTTGGCTCTCAGGAAATTTGGATTTCTCTTCACTTAATGCCGGTTATTAGCTACGAATCTATATTAATGATAATTTAATTTAAGCTACAAATCAGATTTTGAACGCAAATTACAATTAAAATTTTATTAAATTTTACAATTAGATTTCAAATTTTTTTAATTTTAAAATTAGATTACATAAAACTGCATTAAATATGTAATATGTTTCAGTGTAAACAAAAATTTTTGTTAAAATTTATAAATGAAATTCTTGTTAAAAATCGTTTCTTATGATACATTAAGTTGCATTAAATACGCATGCTTATTAATGAATTTGAATGCTTTTGCTTAAACACTGGCTGTTATCTATTAGCTTATTCAATTAAGAACTTTAATATTTTAAGTTACAGGTTGCATTGTAAATACAACATTGTTACTGAAATTTTATTAAATTTTATAAATGAAGCATTGTTACTAAAAACACGTTTTTCTACAACATTAAAATTCTATTGTTTATTAGCCATAAGAAATTCGACTAAATCCACTAATTAATCGTTACAATAATTTATAATGCAGCTAAATATGAGCAAATACATTCATTTACATACCAGTTTTCATTCAAAATTAGATTATGTGTTTTCAATGTTAAATTATGTAAATTGCACGCTTATGGCTTAATACTGGTAGATAGCTACGAGCCTATATTATTAATAAAATTGTAAACACAGATTATTACAATTTTATTAAAATTTATAATTAAAATTTTTGTTAAATATCGTGTTTTATGATGCATTAAACTGCATTGAATACTTATGGTTATCAATAAATTTGAATGTGATTCCTCTAATGCTGGTTGTTATCTACTTTACAAAACTATTCAAATGATAATTTCAATATTTTAACTTACATGTTGCATTGTAAGCACAAATTGTTACTGAAATTTTATTAAATTTTATAAATGAAGCATTGGTACTAAAAAACATTTTATCTGATTCTCTAAATCGCTATCGGGTTATTTTAATTTCATTTGATTAAACACTGGTTGTTGTCAACGAATTTATATAATTAACACTTTAAATATTTCAAAGTACATTTTGATTCGTAAGCACAAACCTTTATTAATATTTTGTGATACATGTTATTTGATCCCAGAAAAAGACGAACTAGGAAACTAGGTACTGTAAAGCGTCCATCCAGATTTTAGGGAAATTTTATTTTAATCATTTCACATTTATTTTCTAAATTTGGCAATTACCATGCAAATTTAAATGTTATTTACTAAAAAGATTTTAAAGTAACTAAAATCTACATTCCTTACTAAATTGTATATTAAATACTCAGAACATAACACTGTCATATTTTTTTTAGTTATTGAAACTTTATGCTAAATTTTCAAAAGTTTTAATAACAGCAATAAAATTGCAAATAAACTTAACAGTAGGAAGGAAAAAAACTATAAAAGTAGTCTATTCTTTACTAAAAGAATGCATCATGAAGAGAAAATACTGGCCATTATGCATATCATTAAGATAGCTTAAACAGTTTGCTAAATTAAATATTTTAAAACGTTGAATGAATTATTTGTCAAATTAATAATATTTGGAAATTTCAATTGCTATAAAGATCCTCATTTTTTCTAAAAACGATGGCTTTTAGAACATCAATCGTTTTTTACATGCATGGTTATTTCAAATATACAACTCATGTTTCACTAAGTAACATGAATTGCATCAAGAACTGAAAAGCAATCTAGTGAAAGATGGCATTAAGTAAAACGAAAAACATAATATGATAATGTTCGAGAACATTCTTTTGGTATTCCTTCAAGAAAGTATGTAGCAAAAATAACGTATACCATAATGGTAGTTTCGTGATGACGTAATGGAACAATGCCAGAAAACTATAAGAGCACGCCTTTTAAAACTGAGAATTTCTAGATAGGTATTTGGATAGGTATACGCAAGTTTTGGATTTTAATGAATATTTAAGAAAGCTCTTTGAAAGTTAGGTTGAAATTTTAGTATGTTCTTTAAATAGAAAAAAAACTATGATGCTTTCATAACTTAATTTTTTTTAATGAAATTCAGAAGTCAGTCAGAGATTTTGCATTTCAATATTCGTTCAAGTTTCAAAAGAAGATAATCAAGTAACGTAATATGCCAGAATTTATAAACAAGAGAGGGAAAAAATCTCAAGCCCACATTATGTAATGACACACTACACTGTAAAAAGTACCGTCACTCAAGGTGACAGTACTTATCGTAAAATTTTACGGAACGAAAAAATATTTTTGTATAAAAAATATTTTTGCTTAGCATACTTAACTGTTTATAAAGCTAGCAATTTCGGGGAATCGAGTGTAAATATTAGACTTGATTTTATAATGTAGTATAATGATTAAAAGCTGTACTATATTTCGTATTTTCTTAAATTACCATATTTTTGTTTGCAAAAGCACATCATAACTCCGAAATATTCTAAGCCAAGATTAAACATGGAAATATGCCTTACAAAAATCAGTGGAACTTAGCACTCTTTAACTTTTTTTTGACTAATTAATAGCAGAGCTCTGTGTATAAACATGATGCTTAATTTACAAATTCAACATAGATTTTGATGCAAAAATATAATAATTTTAAATCAATTTACGTTTTCTATTCTACTATTCTTGTTTACCAATGACAAATCAAAAATCCAATACGGTGAAATTTACCGAATAAAGACTCAAAAAGTAAACTTATTTAAAATCGTTATTTGTTTTATTTTCTCCTGTTTCTTTTTAAGCTGAAACATATCTTAATTTCAATATATTCTAAACCGAGATTGTACCATAAAAAGGAATATTAAGATTATTATCGCTTTGTCATGCTATCTGGCAGTTAATATCAGAGGATCTTGTATTAAACATTACGCTTGATTTAAAGAATAATTATTTCTTAAAAGTATTTCAATTTTAAATCGATTTCCGTTTTTCTATCTCTGATTTCAGTTTAGAAAAGACACATTATAATTCCATTACATTTAAATTTACAGAGTTATTTTAAACTGTGTATAAATATTATACTTCATTTCTTAATTTTTAATAAAAACTCAAAAATATATTTATTTTAAATCATCTTTCGTTTCACTTCCTATTTTATTAATTATTCCTACAAAAGCTCATCAAGTTCCAATTTCTTTGTATAGCGACATCGTGCCATAAAATTGTATTTTAATGCAAAATAAAAAACATATTGGTATTTTGCACAGAGGAAAAAAGAATGGTAAAAACTACCAGAACATCGTAAAATTTATAGTACTTCTGGCTCTATGGGACCATCAAAAAGCTCTGTAATTTTGGCCAAAGAGCTTTGGTATTGATTTTTTAATACTAAAAAAATTTATGGTTTTATAATATGTGTTAAAATTTGGTGATTGTGGTAAAATTTAGCAGTTTTATCATGATACTTTAGAGCATGGCATAAAAACCATTAATAGGCCATTAAATATACTTTTCAATTTTGTATTAGTTACTAAATGTGTGGTATAATGCGAATAATAATTTTTAAATCTGGAACCGCCGGTAAATCGGCTATATGAACGGAAAAATTACCAAATGAATGGTTTAAACGCCGTATATTTTCGTCTTATTAGACCAAATTATTTGGTATTAATAAGTTTGTTTGTTTTTTACTATAAATGTCATTACCATACAATACGAAAATTTTATCAGAATTTATTTCGCAGTGTGGCATGCTGAACTCGCTACTAACCAAATAATTTTGAAATACAATATATAAATGTTATACATGATTTCCGATTTTAGAAACAGAAAAAAATTAATTATTACAACATAATACATGTTCCCGAAGATAAAAGCAATAAAACAATTGAATTTTCTTCGTCAGAAATCAATGCTGAAGCAAGTGACGTAATGGTTATTTATAGAGCAAGGTGTTTCCAGGGAGTTGAGGTGGTAGTTGATATGATTTGCAGGTAGCCTAAGAGAATTGAGAGTACGTCTAGGTTTTTATTATTCCTGAAGAGGAATAACGTCTGGGTGGCGCCGGCGCCGATTTACCTTGCTTTTCTCCCGATGAGTCATCAACGGGAAAGCTCCAAGTCCATTACATATTACCTTTTTTCCGATTTTTCTCCTTTTTTCAATCTTGTAGATTCAGAGAAGGGTTGGCTTTACTGAATAGCGGTGCTATACCTATTTACATATGATGGAGTTTCCCCTAAAAGTTTTTTCAGGTTCATTTACATTTAAGTTTAAATTAGAAATGGAATTTTGTTCCGAATGTACAGAGCATTGTTGTGAATTGTTATTGTGTTCAAATGTATATTATAATTGGATGTAGAAATTTGTAACAATGTGCTTCTTTAGGTTTTAATTGCTTTCTTTTTTTTAGCTATTTCCAAAGAAGAAATCATTCCTGAATTCGGCCAAGACAACGAGGTATGTGTCAATGCTTTAATTTTAAATGCTGCACTTTTCAAAATTGTGCGCGCATTCAAAAGGTTTTAAAATGGTTTCTTGAAAAAATATTGCCTTCTTAGGCACTTTTTTGAAACTGGTGCTAAGCGTAAAACAAGTAAAATATATGAAAAAATTTATCTTTTCCTTAAAAATATATTTTCATGACGCGTTTTCAAGTTGTTCCTAAGTATGAAATATGTATAATTAAATTTAGATTTATACTTAGATTTAAATTATCGCAATTATTTCCTTTAATTATTGTTATTTAAATGTAATCGAAGAACATCTATTACGAATAGATTATTTTTAATGAGGACGCGAAAAATATTTTTCAATTTCGAGTTGAATTATAAAGTGGAAAAATATATATTGAATACTAAAATTTGAAATGCACCAGATATAAGGTTGGGAACGAAATTTGAATGCTTATTCTTAGGTCTTCGTTAATTCATGAAGAACTAAAAGAATTGGTAAAGAAATAAGGATAAAAAAATTCACAATAATTTTAATTAGAATGAAGAAATTTTTGTTGTAAGAATATCTAAGTAATTGCAAAAAAGGTATGATTTTAAAGGACAGATCTGATCTGCAATATTAATGAATTTATTCACTGCAATTTATTTACTTTAGAGCACAAACATGAATCAGACTTCATGAATTACGTTACTCTTTAATGTGATAGTTTATTTAATATGTAAAAGTCTGAAATGACTTTTATGACATCAAAACAGCATTTGTATGACCAAACAGTATTTGTAATTTGTAAGTAGGCACTCCACTTATTTTTAGAAATAGATTTTATTAATTCCACACGTATTTGGTATGCTTCCTAAATTAATTAAGATGTTGATTTATTAAGGAAGAATAATCACTCGAATCATTTTGTTAAGAACTGATTTAAAGATTAATTTGAGATTCAATTAATTAAAAATTGATTTCGTAAGTCCCATTTAGTTGTTTCATTCAAATTTCGTGTGCAATACGTAAACACCTTATATTGTTTCTTGTATTAAATTTTAATTTAAATCGGAAAAAGATATAAATCTGATGAATGAGATTTGCAAAACTCATGCAGCTTATCTAGTTTAGTCTATTCCTCAATAAATTACCACCATTTATAATTTTGCCTAAATACGTTCTTCCAATTTCATTTTGAAAAAGTGGTATACTTAAAATTTATTAGAGCGATTTCGTTAAATTTTTTTTTTGCCTTTTAAAATTACCTTCTTTAAAATTATGTAAAAAAATTTTATAGGTTACAATTCAAAAATTTTTCTACTATCATTAAAAAAGTAATAAAAAATAATAAATATTTACTAAAAGTTATATTGTGCATTGAATTATCTTTGGATAAACGATTTTAGAATTGTGAGCAAGAAGTTTTTTAATTCGCTTAAAGAGTTCTCGAAATATGGTGAAATACGCAAAAAGTGAAATTTACGTAAAGGGGTCCAAATTTTGGACGGCTCTCCTGACCAAGCTATTTGGGACCATATTTCGCAGACTCTGACTGCGTCCTAATATTTGAAGTCAGAAATCTGAGTCTATCAACAACAACAAATTATATTTATTCAGAGAAATAAGTTTTTGCATCTGATTCTGACATTTAAAACATTACCTGCACTAACTAATCAGTATATTTGAGGTTACAAGGTCGAACCTTTTAAGATTGAGTCCAAGAACGTAAAGATCCAATTATTTAATCAAAAGTTATACAGGGTGGTTCGTTTTTTATTTTTCGTACTGTGCAATGTATTATTGATAGATTTGTTAATTATTAATACTGTACCGATACTGGTTTTAATATAGATACCGTAGTGTCTTACGGCCTCTCGAAAGGGATAAATATCGAAAATACTTGATAGTGATATATTTTGAACTATCATTACTTGGCAGCTATCAATAGCATCATGCCAAGTGATACTGAATACAGTTAATCTCCATTCTGAGGAGATGAACTACAGAAAAAACGTGTTTCTCTTGGTTTAACAGCGTAAAACCACCGGGAAAGCCAACAAATAATTATAAATAAATAATTGTGATTATTTTAACTTCATTAATCGCATCGGTATATTCGTTTCCGTTTCATGCATGAATTCGTAGTGTTGTTCATTACTGATTTTTTTATTCTCTTTTTTTCACTCCCTACGAAGAACGGGTATTCAGCTAGTAATCTAATATACTTAACTGGTATATAAATAATAGTAGCAATTAAACTTATCAATGAAGAAGTGTTGCATCTTAGAAAGCCTCATCACAGCATCAGTAGAAGTCTAGCTTTTACTCGCGGTAGCAGAATCATAACCCATCACAAATAGTGTCATATCTCATCGTAACTGCAGAGTCATAATCCATCATAGAGTCAGAGTCATAAGCTATATATCCCATTACCAGTTACCAGAAGTAGTTTTGTAACTATGGTAACTGAACTTAGTTTTTAGTTACATCAGGCTGTCTTCCTGCAAAGCAAATCTATTTTTTTCTTGTGTTATTTAATGGAAATGCTCTCTTAAAAAATTTACAAACCTTTTCCTTACAGTTTGAAGCTATCCATAGGCATATTCCATTATTATAGGGGAAGCGTTGGATTTTAAAATATCAGAGGCCTGGCAAACTAAGCTTTCAAAGTTTGTGATAGAGCTACAATAAGCAATTCGCTTGACTGACATTAATTCTTTTGATGTAGTCAATCGACTCATTTTTGCAGATAAATTCATACAATTAATGACATTTGGAAACCGTTACCCGTTCTCCAATTTATAATCCAGTGGCCTTAAACGACTCGCTGTCATTTATGAAGATTTTTTCTCTTGGCTGTAGTTGGTTACAATTATAGTGCAAGCTTTTATTTCTTTTAAGAAATTTTACCTGAGCTAAGAAAAAGACAAGTATTACGTTTTTTTTTATTAAAAAAAAATGCCAAAAGAAAGAGAGGGTCAATAAAAGCCGCTGGATTGGAAAATCGCTACCCCGTTCCACCAACACTAATAGAGATAGATTCTGTATAGAAACCTGTATAAAATGCAAACTCACCACAGATAGTTCCAGGCACCCCCATAAATCACTATGCAGAAGCTGTTTCATTCAGATCACTGAGGGTTTATGCTAGGCGTAAATGAACTTTCTCTACCTTGAGAATTTTTTTGTGTTCTATCTCCCGGGTTATTTTTCCTGCATTGGAAGAAACCTTAGTAGGCGGCAGGGAATAGAATGTTCTTGACGCTCACTTCTCCTGATATAAATGAAGTTTTTTGGAAGAAGAAGAAGTACATCACACTCCTATTCCCATTTCCACTATTCCCTTTGTGGTAGTTTTGAACAACCTATTTCTCGCTCCTGATCGTTTCCCGAAAAAGAACTCCGGATGATTGAAAACAAACGTTGCTACAGGAGTCTTAATAATATATTTTCCCGAACTCCTCAAAGGTCAATAAAAGAAGAGATATTGGCAACATGCGTACATATTTCACCCAAGAGTGACAGCTGATGTATATTGAATGCATGTCAGAATATATTTTTATGATGCACACTGCACGGGGTATATCTAATGCATGTGCATATTCTATTTGTACTATACATTTTTCGAATACCTCTGTCATATAAATCTTTTTACTTGAGCTCTTTTAACCAAATCTGGAATAGTGAAAAATTCTGAATACAGGTGGAACATGATAATTTTTTTAAATAATACAATAAAAATATGAGGGGGGGAATATTTCACAGTTGACCGTTAATTTTTCCAATATAATTTAAATACTTTGAACTTAAACTCTTTAACTCTTCAACATTTAAATCTTTAACTCTTCAACAGCTTACCTTAAAAAAAAGTTGAGGGTAACCCGTTTCCTCCACTTTTTCTTTAGGGAACTTTTGGGAGTAGAAACATATTTCTGCATGAATTTGTCCAAATAGGTAAAAATATAAAAGTTTGAAATTGCTATTTCATGCAAGAAATACACATAAGATATTCATATACAATTTTATGCTTTTATTTTCAAGCATTAGAAATGAACTAACTATGAATACTTCCTGAACCACTTTATTCAATTTCTATTTTGATTCTAAATTATTAAATTATCAAAATTATTAAATTTTCGAAATTATTAAATTATTTATTATTAATTAAATTTCCATTATAATAAAAATTTTCATTATTAATTAAATTCTCAAAATTAATGCATACATGAATTAAAAATTTTACCATTGGGAAAATTAATACTTGGCAAAACCTAATGCTTTCATTATATTAAAAAAGTCAACTCCTGCATCTAATAATATGAAACCTAGAGGGGTGAGAGAAAGACTTTGAGCATAATAAATTTAATTGATAAAATATTGGTGCGTTTTAATAATCTAATTAAAAGAATTAGTAAAAGGTCCTGTTAAAACCTTTGCTTGGTGTAATCATAGTATAAATTTCCAAGTAACTGTGTTAAATCTGCAAAACTTCATTATTTTATATTCTGTGTTTGATTTCTTACTGTTTCTTATGTTTTATAATTTTCTTAAGAATCATAAGATATCAAAATATTACTTCAGCACCCAAAACGCATAACTCTTTTTTTTCTTGAAAAAAGAAACGAAATTATAGCAAAAATTATCAGGAAAATATTGTTTTAATAAAATTAAAAACTTATAAATATTTAATATATAATGCTAAAAGGTTGTTAATTATTCTAATTTAAACATTTAATTTATATTGGGTAAAACAATACACTTAGTAATTCTTACAGTTAAGACTTAAAAGTAACGCATTTGTCAAAAAAAATCAGATTTTTTCATAGATTGTATTTAGTACATCAATACACAGGAAATTGGAAGCAAAAATGCAGTATATCGGATAAGACAAACATTGATAATGTACCAAAATGGATCTCATTATTTTATCCCTTCTCACTGAATTCTCAATGGAAGATAAAAAGGTGAGAGAACGAAAGCGGAAATGGAAGGGATAGTGATAAATATCCAGAAAAATACTC